GGGCGGGGGCGGCGTGCGGCTGCTGGGTCTCGGCCTCGCTGCTCATGGTTGCGGTGATGGTGACTGGGGCCGGCTCCGGCAGCTGCAGCTCCTCCCGGGGTGTGATGGTAACTAGGCCGGCGGCGGCAGTGGGGCTGCTCAGGGCTCTCTGGGGTCCGCTCTCTGCTCCCGCTACCGATCGAACTCAAAATGTTTACATTTTTAAGTATTGGTTCATCAGAAGGTTCATCCTCGGATCACTATTTACCTTCAACCTCTACTTGTTTCTCTGGATTTTTATAATCATCAACTCTTTATAACTCCCAGTTATATGTTCCAAAACTTTACATTAATCCTAAAACACTTTTCTGGTCTCCTGACTGCTATGCCTTAGCAAATTCAAGCAGACTGGTGGCACGGGCATCATTTGGAGACTTGAAAGCAACATAGCCTCCCAGGCCTTCCCACACTGATTCACAGGATCTGCATCTCAACAAGATTCCTATGTGACTCACAAGCACAGTAAGTTTGGGAAGCACTGCACTAGTTATCTTTAGATTGGACATTTTACAGACACCCCAAGTCAAAATGTCCAACATATTACAGGGGACATGTTTCTTAATATTTGGATGGTCATTGCAACAAGACTTTCATCTCCCTAACCAACTTCCTCTTTATACCACTTAACGCATGATTTATGTCCTAAGGACACAAAACAATTTGGTCCTTTACACAGCATCCTGCTTTCTTATCCCACTATGCTTTTACACACTCCCTAAGATGTTTCTGTTATTTATTTCTCTCTTATCAGAAATAAGAATGCCATGAAGTCAGGAATCACACCTTATTTAGCCTTAAGACCTTAATACCTACGACACTGCTAAGGCTATCTGGGGTACTCAATAAATGTTTGTAGAAGGAGTACTAAACCAATAACTAAAATATCAAGTATCTTTATTTGGGATTCCCCATTTGAGTATAAATCTGACTTGTAGTGATAGTAGCCTTCATGGATGAAGTAAATTAAAAGTTACCCAACTGTGTAGATAAAATATTTTATTAAAGAAAATGATCGAGCCGTGCCCTCCCCTGCCTGCTCCGCCACCAGCCCCAGCGAGGAAGGTAGCCACATGGGTGCCCCTGAAACACCCTCCCTGACCTCCTGATTGTGCCAGTCCTTGGACCCACTCTGCAGAGGCATTGGTGGTCATAAAGGGTATTTTTCTGAGCTCCCAACTTTGGATATCTTTAAAGAAAGGGCGGGGGAAACCTGTAGAACTGTGTGGAGTTCAACCGTGCAGGAGGACGGGAAAACTCAATCTGGGCCTTGTGGCCTGAGGTCAGTCTGAGTTGTGGGGATATGCCATTGGCTAGCTGAGATCAGTGGACTTGGTTCTGCACATGGCTGCCAACGTTGTATATTATGACAGCAGAGATACAGTCTGAAAGAGGCCCTTCAAATGCATTTTTTTTCTTTCTTTTCCTTATTCCACTCTGCAAATTCTTTCTTTTTTCTGTCCTCTTTCTCCTACTCAGTCCCTTGCTCCACCATAATATCCCTCATCTCCCTTTCTG